TATTCATCAAATATCTTGTCCGTACACATCTCAACAAAATGGGGTAGCTGAAAGAAAGAATAGACATCTTATTGAAACTGCTCGTACCCTACTCATACAATTCCGTTGCGTTTTTTGGGGGGGATGCAGTTCTTATATCTTGCTATCTTATTAATCGTATGCCATCTTCAGCTATCCAGAACCAAGTTCCATTCTCTGTCATGTTTCCCCACTTACCTTTGTTCTCTCTTCCACCCCGTATCTTTGGAAGCACTTGTTTTGTCCATAACCTTACTCCAGGAACAGATAAGTTAGCTCCTCGTGCTCTTAAGTGCGTATTTCTGGGTTTCTCGAGAACACAAAAGGGGTATCGATGCTACTCTCCTGACCTCCAGCGGTACCTTATGTCCGCTGATATTACCTTCTTTGAAACCCAATCATACTTCACACGTTCAAGTCATCACTTAGATATTTCTGAGGTACTACCAGTTTCATCTTTTGGAGATTCAGTCACTCCAGCTCCACCAACTACAGCTCCAGTTGTAGCTCCACCACCTATAGCTCCAGTTCCTCCACATAATCCAGTTCAACCTTATGCAGCTCCACCACTTTTGACTTATCATCGTCGTCCACATCCAGCATCAGGCCCAGGTGATTCACGCCCCGCATCAGATTCTGCACCTACTGCGGACTTGTCTCCTCTTAGTCAACCAATTGCACTCCGCAAAGGTGTACGATCCACACTTAATCCTAATCCCCACTATGTCGGTTTAAGTTATCATCGTCTGTCGTCACCACATTATGCTTTTATATCTTCTTTGTCCACTGTTTCTATCCCTAAGTCTACAGGTGAGGCACTATCTCATCCAGGATGGCGACATGCTATGATTGACGAGATGTCTGCTTTACATGCGAGTGACACTTGGGAGCTTGTTCCTCTTCCTGCAGGTAAGTCTACTGTTGGTTGTCGTTGGGTTTATGCAGTCAAAGTCGGCCCGGATGGCCAGATTGATCGGCTTAAGGCTCGTCTTGTTGCAAAAGGATATACTCAGATTTTTGGGCTTGATTATAGTGATACTTTCTCTCCCGTGGCTAAAGTAGCATCTGTTCGTCTCTTTTTGTCCATGGCTGTTGTACGTCATTGGCCTCTTTATCAGTTAGACATTAAGAATGCTTTTCTCCACGGTGATCTTGAGGAAGAAGTTTATATGGAGCAACCACCTGGTTTCGTTGCTCGGGGGGAGTTTAATGGTTGTGTGTGGCTGTGTGCAGATTGCGCAGGTCACTATATGGTTTGAAACAGTCTCTCGAGCTTGGTTTGGTAAGTTCAGCACAATTATTCAGGAGTTCGGCATGAATCATAGTGAGGTTGATCACTCTGTGTTTTATCGGCATTCTGCTCCTAATCTGTGTATTTATCTAGTGGTTTATGTTGATGATATTGTTATTACTGGCAATAATCAGGATGGTATTACTAATCTGAAGCAACATCTCTTTCAGCACTTCCAGACTAAGGATCTGGGCAGATTGAAGTATTTTCTTGGTATTGAGGCCGCTCAGTCTAGCTCAGGTATTGTTATTTCACAGCGGAAGTATGCCTTAGACATTCTTGAGGAGACTGGAATGATGGGTTGCAGACCTATTGACTAGCCTATGGATCCGAATGCTAAGCTTCTGCCTGGACAGGGGGAGCCTCTTAGAGACCCTACGAGATATAGGAGGTTGGTTTGCAAATTGAATTACCTCACTGTGTCTAGACCTGACATCTTTTTTCCGGTAAGTGTTGTAAGTCAGTTTATGGATTCTCCTTGTGATAGTCACTGGGATGCAGTTGTTCGCATTCTTCGGTATATAAAGTCAACTCCAGGCAAAGGATTATTATTCGAGAATCGAGGCCACGAGCAGATTGTTGGGTACACAGATGCTGATTGGGCAGGATCACCTTTTGATAGACGTTCTACGTCTGGATATTGTGTTCTAGTAGGAGGTAATTTGGTCTCGTGGAAGAGCAANGACGTGTGAGTTAGTTTGGGTCAAACAGTTGCTCAAGGAGTTAAAGTTCGGAGAAATCAGCAAGATGGAACTAGTGTGTGATAACCAAGCTGCTCTTCATATTGCGTCAAATCTGGTGTTCCATGAGAGGACTAAACACATTGAGATCGACTATCATTTTGTCAGAGAAAAAATACTTTCAGGAGATATTGTTACAAAGTTTGTAAAGTCGAATGATCAACTAGCAGATATTTTCACTAAGTCTCTTACTGGTTCTCGTATTAGTTACATGTGTAACAAGCTCGGTACATATGATGTGTATGCACCGGCTTGAGGGGGAGTGTTAGTTTACAGATATGTATAGTGTAGTCTTGTCCCACATTGGAAGAGGAGTAATATCTCCTTGTAGTGTATAGCTATAAATAGGGACCTCTTGTATTGTATTTATCATCTAATATCAATAACATATTTTCTCCCGTGCCTTCTCACACCATGCAAGCTTACTTCCGTAGTATGCTGGTTTTCCTTCATTCCTTGGGCTTGGTGAATTGAAATATGAGATTGTGAGTTCGTTATGTATGATAGCATCTGTACGAGTTTTTTCTTCAGGTTTCAAATTTGCATGCTCTTTATTTTCTTCAGGTATGATGCCTACTCATTCTCAGTCATCCCAGCAGTTGGTGAGCTAGTGACAGGTGACCGAGAGTCTTACCAGTACTTGGTTGAGAGCATCCGCCGATTCCCTCCACAGGTATTACGTGTGGAAGTTTCTTTCATTTGTTGCAACATCAGATAATCTGTTGACTGTAATTGCACCCTGGTGAATCCCGGCTATGCCTGGCCACTACCTGGGGATATTGCCATATCTCTCGCCGGTTTGAGATGCGTATCTTGTGCTTGTTAGTGTACTTTATCGTCCCAGTACAGTGAAACTGTAATTCTTGTGATCATTGATGGATGCCTTTCCTTAAAAAGTTATTTTTCTTAAAAGATGCTTGGCTATGAAGTGAAAAGGCGTGTTCAGCACTTCCACCTATCAAATTGCAGGTGGAAAAATAAAGTGGACAGAAAGAAAGGAAAATAGACCATCTTTAATTTTGGTAATGCCTAAGAAGTGCCTCAGACAAAAATGAAGTGAGCTCCAAAAATTGGAATCAGAACACAAGTTTGAGGCCTCCTTGGGCATTACCAAAATTTCATTAAAGATGATTTATTTTTCCTTAAATTCTGTCCTCTTTTGGACACAGAAAGTAAATGAAACGTTTTGCTCATAACCTTACCCCTCCGTTTTCTCCTTTCCTTGTCCTTCCTCAAACCCAATCCAATAGCTAAAAACCAATGCAAAACTCTAACTACATTTACACATTGTAACCGAATTCATCCACTCCTGTGAGAGCAAATTTAGGAACATTACCAGAGATTCACCTACAATCTGTGCAAGTGCTTCAGCTTTTTCACTACCTTTTGCTTTTAATTGTATGCAGGAGGTGTTTGCCAAAATGATTGCGGAAGCTGGATTTCAAAAGGTAGAATACGAGAACCTTGTTGGTGGAGTTGTGGCAATTCATTCAGGGTTCAAGTTTTAGAGTCATTCTCAAATTTAACGTGGGACTGGTTTTGGCCTTCATGGTACCCGGAAGATCTCACGAAAAAATAGTTTAAGATTCAGGGTTTGATAGGTCCTTAGCCAAATAGATGCAAATGGACGAAGACGGAATTCAGTGTATTCTAATATGTTTCTGGGAATGGATATGCTTTTGGGAGCAGCATGGCCTTTCTGGTGAACTGTTTCAAAGAATATAGTAGCTTACAACAATATTACGTAATTTAAAAGTTTGTGACTTCATAGGAGTAATTTTCTTCTGCTTGAAACTAGCTTCATCAAGTAGATCTGAAGCTCAGTTTGAATAAGTTGGCTATTAAAGTCAACAATGCATGGTGTTGTTGCTTGGTTACTTAAACATCAACACAATTTGTAGTTTAATTCACAATGAAGATTGGAGAATATGCTATGGAATTGCTTCCTCGTAAACTATATACTTACAGCTTGTTTGGATGGTTCTTACCTATTGTATTGTATAGTATAGTATCGTTGCTTTAGATACAATATTTGTTTTGATTATTACTTAAATTTTATTATATTGTATCGTTAAATTCGTCGTTACGTAACGACGAAAAATGTCACTTTATGTAAGGAATGATTTGGTGTAGTTGCATCGTTATCTTATTTTTTTTTTCCCCCTCCCCTTCCTTATTACTCCCTCCGGTCCACAATAAGTGACTAATTTGCCTTGGGCACACCCATTAAGAAAATACAAAATTCTAGACAAAAATAGTTAGTGTGACTAAACTATCCTTAATTAAATGTTGTAGCATAGTTAATGTGAGGAGTAAAAGACTTTTTAGGGATACGTACATAAAGGTAATTTTGGAAAAAAAATTTGAATTTTTTCTTAGATTATATAAATTGACACTTATTTTGGACCAAAATAGAAAGTCAAATTGGTCGCTTATTGTGGACCGGAGGGAGTATTAAATAATTCTATTTTATCATTTACCTTATATTTTTTTATAATAATTCTACCTTGTATCTTATTTTTTCTTTATAATTTTACAAGTTTATTTTTTATATTGTTGGTGGCTTGGTGCATGAAATTATGAAACGACACAAATAATATAATTTATTCAAATATTCTATACATCGTAATTGGTAAAGTTGTTATGGGACCAGGAGGTCATGAGTTCGAGTCGTGGAAATAACCTCTTGTAAAAATGTAGGGTAAGACTGCGTATAATATACCCACATGGTCCGGTACGGATTGCCCTTTATTGTATACATTAAAACGATACTAACACATAATATATTATACAAGGATATATAACAACCATCCAAACAAGGTGGTATAATGCCATTGTGGGAACTAACATAATTTTCTCCAAGTGTGAGGCGAGTTCATCTAGAGTATACTTAGCTCACGAGACTTTTGGGTCTTTTGTAGCTATTGGAGAGATCTTTACAAGGTAGGCAAACCCTCGATCTTAATTTGACAACAATCCATGGCTACACATTGCAAATTTTATGTAATGCCAATTCAAATAGTCAGTTGTGATCGATTGAGTTGCTTTGTGCACAAAATCCCCAATTTTTTAATTCACACCGGATGTTCCGTTATCTACATTTTTCTCCGTTATTATCTTTTTATCCATCCTACATTTGAAGGAAAATAGCATTTCGTAGCCATGGCTTACTACTACTTATACTCAACCATACCCAAGAAACCTCTAACCTCAATCTTCATGTCCTCTCCCCATATCATCTTCAACTTCTCTCTTCACAAATTCGTTCCTTCTACAACTCCATCACTTTTTCCCTCTCTTCACCTTCGCCACCGTTCTAGGTATTGCACATGGGTGTCAGCTGTTTCATGTTCTGTAGCTGAGACAGATGAACAACACCATATTGCAAGTACTGGACTTGTACACAAAGAATATGCCGACCTTAATCTCTCTGACTTATTTTGTGAGGTTTGACAAATTTAAAGACCAACTTTTTTTTTGCCTAAAGTTAGCTATTATCTAATTTATTTTCAGATTTAAGTTATACATACTGGCAATGTAAAGATTCTTTACTAAGTGTAGTTGGGATACCAGTTTAGTTAGTACCATTATTACCATGTTACCAGTTGATCCTTAATCTAGAAATTTACTTGTAAATGGTAATTACATTATGACTGACCTGATTGTGTATATATGTTGTATTCCACCCAGGTGCATAAAACTTAAAAAACTTTTTTCCCCCTAAAGTTAGGTCAAACTGAGCTGTTTTCCTTATTTTTCTAATATTCCTGTGACATAAGTATTGCCAGAAGTTGGTCAAGTTGAGCTATTGATGAAGTCATTTATTTGGATTAAATTTTATAACTTTAGTGACGACGAAGGCAAAATTGATAGATTGGTAAAATTGTGTCTATTATGAGATTTTCTTGCAATATCTGTGTGCATTTTTATACTCACATTCATCAAATGATGTAATAGGATATTGGCAATCTTCGGATAAGGCCGCATGTCAACCCTCTGCGACGTGCTCTCATGGTACACATTATGGCTCTTTGTATATGTGAAGCTTCTCTCTTCCTATTGAGTCCTGTTGACCCCAGCTATGATTTGTGAAACTTTACTATGGAAGAAAAATATTAGGATGGAACAACAACAACAACATAGCCTGTATAGTCCCACAAGTGGGGATAAAAATTTCAACTTAATTTTTCAACTTAAATGGTTCTTTTTGTTTTGTTGTATTAATTTATCATGAGAAGATTCCTGCAGAAGTACCGAACTGGAAGGAGGTGTTCGGGGATGCAACATTGCCTCTGATGGTGGATATTGGGAGTGGTAGGAACCTGCTTGCTCTTTGATATCTTCACCATTCTATTGTTACTTATTTATTCAGTTTAAATTTCGTGTTTTCCATTTAAGATCTAGTAGTTTATTATGGTCCAACAGTTATCTGTAACAAACTTGCTTCAAATTGCACGAAGGTGGTTGGTTTTACAAATTGAATAGAAATTTATGCCTATGCCTTAAGGGGTCATTAGGCCTGAGGTATTCCAAAATATAACAACAGTAAAAAATTATGCATTTTATTATGAAGCGTTAATCCCAACCGGTTGGTATCGACTATATGGATCCTTTTCTTCCATTTTATTGTGTTTCTAGCTAAATGTGCAATGGCTCTGAGTCTTTTTAGGCTTATTGAGACAGACTCCATCCTTTTACTATCTTTAATCATGTCACACCTACATAATAGTGTATCTCGAGGTCTGTGTACCATTTGAAGCTACCTTCATGTTATCCTCTACGTGTTCTGTTTGCAGCCCTCTGTTAGATGTATCATTCTTAATTTGTCTATGACTGCACATTTATCTGTCATCCACATCTATATTACATTCATCTTGTGGATATTAGTAACCGAATATTCACCCTCACCCCCATATAACATTGTGGGTCTTTCAATTTATATCTCACACATTTCCAATTTTTTTTCTCTTCCCTTTATCCTTGAGATTCCTTTGTCCTATGGTCTTGTAATTTCTTAGATCTAAGTAAACGATATTGCAGGTAGCGGGAGATTTCTTATGTGGCTTGCTAAAAGAAATTCTTCATCCAAGAATTTTCTGGGATTGGAAATTCGGCCTAAGGTATGTCGACAATAACCTTGTCTTGTTAAAAATGCTTTCATTCCGTTTATATAGTAGTATTGTTCTCTCTTGGCTTCTGAAATGTGCTACTGTGGTACTCATGCTTGAGACTATCTTTTCCTTCTGCAGTTGGTCACACGGGCTGAGTACTGGGTAAACGAGCTGGGTCTGAAAAATGTGTAAGGCTTGAAGAAGTCCTGATATTCCACTTAAGAAATGATTATTGAAAACTTGTTAATGGATATCTAAATGCAGACATTTCATATCTACAAATGCCATGGTTTCCTTCCAACGACTTGTATCTACATATCCTGGACCACTTATGCTAGTTTCAATCTTGGTGAATTCCCTTTTTATGCTGGAAGTATGCAGAAAATGTTTTTCATGTGCCAATGACCCTTTCTTGTTCACTTAAAGCTGAATGGTTAGTTTCTCTTGTCTGCAGTGCCCAGACCCTCACTTTAAGAAAAAACATCATAAAAGAAGAGTGGTGCAGAAGCCTTTGGTTGAATCCATTACAAATAATTTAGCACACGGTGGACAGGTACCTGCTCGGAGCTTCTAGAGTGTAAATTAGTTGATCATTCTTCTGTATGCAATAGATTTGACTTGCTATACTTGGTTGATGCTGTGCATTGTTCAGTTTGCCAACTTTTATTTGGCCTTTTAGCGCCTGGGCTTGGTGTATCATTAGTTGGTGTCAAAGTGTTTGAACTTTTTAAGTAATTCAAAATTAACTTGTATGGCATAACTATTTCAACTATAACACCATTTGATGATCTTCTTAAGGAGAAAAAAATCATGATCCGGGATGTCTTAGAATGTGATGAGAACTATTTGTATCTCTTACTGGGCATAGGTAATATATGACGACTCTGATTTTGATGCAGTTTGTGTCTTGTCCATCATCTCATTTTCAAATATTTCTTGTCTTGCTCTCAGCTAACAACTCTAATGGATGCTTGATCCTAGTAACTTCTAACTAGAACATGAGGGATTCCAGATAGACCTGTGATCCCATCCCCCAAAAAAAAAGAAAAAGAAAAATGAGCTCTCATCTGTGCAGCAGTTAGATGCTAACGTATTTGTGTCTGCAGTGTCTCAGTCTCCATTTCAGCAAAAAAGGTTTCAAGTAATTGTTCAAGGTGTACAATTACCCCCAAATTTCCTGTTTAGAGCTGACTGTAGTTGCTTTAACAGATGATTGTTTATGCTGAGACAATTAAAAGATGATGCCATATTAAACAACAAAAATGTTGTTATGCTGAAGAGTTGCCAAGATTTACTCTTTCCGATTGTGAAATAGGGTTCATCATGATCTATTAACAATAGTTTGAAGCTAATTGCTACAGTGCTTGAAGATGATATCGTTTATCTTGGTGTTAGTGGAAGGCAAAGATTTTGCTGGAGAAAAAAAGATTGCCGCAAATGGAGTGGTTTACAAAGTCCATAGTTCAAGGAGAGAGATAATGATAGATGACACAGAACATATTAGTTACTTAAAAACATGGAAATAATTTTCTGATGTGAGGAGCAAAAAGCTAGTTCAATTAAGAAAGTGATGTTCGTGGTTGGCTGTATGTACCTTTGACTGAAGACATATATATCAATCTTAGTCCAGTTAAAGTCGAAGCATCACCTATTGCCCAACGACACATACATTAGTTCCCATTGGTGTCAGGGACTGGAGGAGTGAGAGTGAAGGGATATATGGCCATATAAACTTGGGTCCATGGTTGTGCAAATTAGATGATTCGAAACTTGTACCCAAGTGTTAGCTCCAACTGTCTCGTATCCCTTTAGGCTTTGATCCGTTTCCAAACTTGTGATTTACTTTGCTTGATGTCACCACAAAATCATGATGTCAATTCTCGGGGTTTCAGAGGAAAAGCGTACCACAATGCTTTAACAGGTCGTTATTTACTCTATTTTATGGATAAAAGGGTTTACTATTACCTAACCTTGACGTTATGCCCTAAAACCATTAAATTTTTGCCAAGTCCCTTTCAATTTGGGAGCAGCGTGCGTGGCACAGAAGTGAAGGTGAAGCCAGAAAATTGTCGGATAATAATAATATCTAGGTTGCCTCCCCCGAGAATAAAATCTGGCTTCAAATTCCTTACAAATCTATTGCATCAACGTCCTGCACCGTCTTTTCATCTCATTTTATGTTTCTTAGAAAATAAAGCACTAAAATGAGCATGCCCTTATAATTTCTGCTGAGAGTATCACATGCATAATCTTTTTTTTTTGGTTGCATTATTACCCTGAGCTTTCTAGTTGATGATTGGCAGGTCTTTATACAATCAGATGTGCTCGACGTGGCAGTTGACATGAGGAATTATTTTGATGATTTGCCTGATAAACTTGTGCATATAGATAGTGTTGATCCAAGTTTACCTTGTGATAGTGATGGATGGGTATTGAACAACCCAATGGGGATAAGGACTGAGAGGGAGATCCATGCAGAATTTGAAGGTTGCAAAATATACAGAAGGGTTTACCAAAAAGTTCAACATTAACTTTCTGGTTCATAACTTGCTGTTTGGGAGTGTGGATCACACAATTTTGCTCTTAGTCTTCTCCAGGCATTGTAGTTTCTAGGATCTTTGAAGTGCCCTTGAACACATCTATTTTTGTTGTGGCTGTGGTTTCTTGATGGCATAATGTGGCCCCTTCAAAAGGAGGGCATGTAACTTACATCTCATATGAACACTAGCTCTCTTTATTTCATTTTTCAGTCTGTATTTGTAACATGAAATGTATTGTTTTTAGTTGGTATTAGAAGTTTCTTAGGTAACTAGACAAAGATACTGGTCAAGTTGTGATAGTGTTGTTTTCACCTACTTGAGGAACTATAGGGGCAGACAGATTCAATCTGTTTTTTTTAAAAGGAAAAAACATGAAGCTTTCAAGGAATGAGATTCTAAGACTGCCATCTTGTGGCAAAGAGCCCATTTGGTGGCATTTGCACAGCAACAACAAAAAATCCAGTGATTTTCCACAAGTGGGGTATGAGGAAGGTAGATGTACGCAGCCTTGCCCCCACCCTAGAAGGGTAGAGAGGCATTTGCACCCGTAGTCAAAATGCTTTCAATTAAAAACTATAGACATGTCAAGATTTAAATTCGATTTGGTTTCTGGTTTTGGTTAGAGAATATTGTGTTTGTGATGATTCGAGTAAGAGGCGGGATAGTGGTATCTTTCTTTTCTGTAATGACATGCTTTGCGAGCTTTATTTGTCAACTTTGTGACATTATGACCAAAAAGCTTAAGGGGCATCCCAAACAGTGTTTGCCTATGGGTTTGAAAAGCCAAAATTGCTATATTTGGCATCAGATTCTGTAATGGAATAAAAGGGAATTGAGATGTATTCGACCTTTCAATTAATCTTCAACTTTTTCCTTTTTCCTCTTCAGAATATGCTTAAGGTCAATTATCACTCTTTGTTTATGTAGCGTTTTTTTTTTAAAGTTGTGCAACTTTCTAATGAAAGTATGCCACTTTAATTTATGCTTAAATTTTCTAATTTGTTACTTAGCTTTGATTATACATAATTTGTTCGTTGGAAGTTAAGTCTCGGGCAAAATTTTGGGATAAATTGGTGTACAAATATATACACACATATACGTTTTTTTGGGTACTTGGTTCATTCGTCTTAAGAAAGTTCCGTTTACTTATTCGAGTTGGAATTCTTTGTCGACTCAATGGCAAGCTTGACTTTTCTTTTGAGGTTCAAGAGAAAGGAAAGAATTCCTGCCTAATGGGGCTTTTACGAATGTATTATCATTGGTAATTAATAACTTGTCGAAACTAATATTCCTAAAATTCACTTTCCATCGCTCTTTTTAGGTTGACATAATATAAAAGGAGAGTGCTGAAAAACCAAACATACCTATCAAAAGGTACATACAGGCATAGGTGCCAATTTCATAACATAACTTTTTTGGGGGAAATGCACAGTTAGCCACTAATTAGAGCTGTATTTACTCTTTAGTCACTGTTTAAAATGTATTTACTCTTTAGCCAGTGCTTTAATACGCTTTTACCCGCCCGGACAAAAATACCCTTATGTTAGATATGGTGTCCTTAACTTCATGAGTGTTGTGTAAATATTAAGGACAAAGTGTCCTGAATTAGCACATTTTGTTTTAAACTTTAGGACATCTTGTCTTTAACTTCATATGTGCAGTGTAAATGTTAAGGACATGATGTCCTTAACTTCATGAGTGTTGTGTAAATATTAAGGACACAATGTCCTTAACTTCACGAGTATTGCGTAGATATTAAAGACAAAGTGTCCTGTATTTGTACCTTCTGTTATTAAACTTTAGGACATCATGTCATTAACTTCATATGTGCAGTGTAAATGTTAAGGATATGGTGTCCTTAACTTCATGTGTGCAGTGTAAATGTTAAGGACATAGTGTCCTTAACTTCATGAGTGTTGTATAAATATTAAGGATATGGTTCGCTTAATGTCCAGAAGTTAAGGACATTTCAGAAACGTTTGTCCTCAATATTAGATTCCTAGTTCAATATTTCAGGACGTTTAGAAAATTATGTCCTAACATTTACTTATTTCGCTTAATGTTCAGAAGTTAAGGATATTTCAGAAACTGATTTTGATTCTCATTTAATCCCCACAAAACAAACTCAAGCAGGGAATACAGCTTCCCAATAGCAGTACAAACAAATCCCAATAGCTAATTTGATTCAATTTTTACGAAATCAACAAAGCCCAAGTGGCCGTCTTCTCCAAAATCGGCTTCGCAAATTTTCGACAAACCCCAGCAAATTAGATCACAAATGGTCCAAATCTGTAGAATCAACTCACAAAGGTGTTTTCCAACAATTATTTTGAACACCCAATTGATTTTGAATACCCAAATTTTCAGAGAAGAAACGAGAGCTTAAGTGCTGGAAAGAAGCGAGGGTTTTGAGATTTTGATAATAAAAAAGGGTTGAAAAGAAAAGAGATGAAGAAAGGTAAAAACATCTATTCATATTAATTATAACAAAGTAGTGGCTATATATGCTCAGCATTGAAATTGCTGGCCAAATACTAAATAGCATCTTAAAAACTGGCCACCCCACGCCATTTCCACAACTTTTTTCCCTTGATCTTTTGGCCCATTTAAAACGTCATGCACATTGAGTGTTCCAAACGCTTGCTTCTTTCAGCTCTACAACATGCTAATTTTTGGCAAAATAATCGTAAGAGGGAGGAAGATTTGGTGAACTAACCGTTTGATGACTAGCTAAAAGTTTGAACGGTAAATTATGTACCTAATAATCATGCTAAACAGTTTAATAAGTAACTTCTTTAAATGGTAAGATGCATTACGTTTTGATATATAGCCATAATTGTTTTAGTGTATTGCTTTGTTTTGTAATGTACATAGTCAATGATTTTAAAGATGGTCATTTTTGTACGACATACTTTTCTATTTGTTTAACTGGTGTTTGGATATGTATGTAATAGTATGTTTCGACCAAACTCGGTATTCACATTGAAATATCAAGACGTATTTCTTCCTTTTCCTTTATAAAGTGCTTCTCATTAACGTAATAGACAATTCAAAAAGTGAAATTCAATTTCGGGCCAAATAAGTTTACGATAATTATAAAAAAAATTTCTATTTTCAAGACTTGATCTCGACACATTTTATTAAAAGCGAAAATTTTCAATCATCTTTTTTTTTAGAAAGTTCTCTATTTTCAAGACTTGATCTCGAAATATTTTGTTAAAAGTGGTCATTTCATTAGATAATAAGGAGATCAAAATAGGTGATACAACCTTTTTTAACCAATTGTGCCTTTATCCAACAAAATTAATCGATCATAAGTCAATTGTTTTTGATGTTTTGGAAAATTAACTAAGTAAAAGAATATTCCAACCAAACTTTGTATGAATGATCCAGATTTTTTCCCCATAAAATATATAATGATATTTTTGTCCTAAGAACATTCCATGCATACACGTGTTCTGTGTGCGATTCAATTCTCTAATCAATTACCAATACATAAATCTATTATACTAATTCCACAAATGAAAGAAACTAAAAAGAAAAGCAGAAAAAAGAAAGAGAAGTTAATTACTCCATAAAAGGTGACACGCTGAAGTAACGCGTAAAGAAAATTGTGAGGATAAGATATACTCCTATATATATTTTATAGAGAAACGTGTAATAACAAATTTGATCTGATAAATTTAGTAAATTTCTGAAATTATAAGTTTCCAAACCTCAGGTGTGTTCAACAAATTGAAGTACAAGGCTACTACCTAATTTCAAAACCGATCTCCCTGATCCAACAAGGTGACTCCTTTCTTCTTCTCCCGTTACTTTCATTTTGTTTTGGTATTTGGGTTTTAAATCTACAATCTCGTTGCCGTTATTTTTGCTTTACTTTTTGTGATTTCAACATCTTTTATTTGTTTCTTGGTGGGTTTTAGGTGATCAGGAAATTGGAAGCAACTTATTAGTAGTAGTTGATATAACGTGTTTCTGTTTGATTTGGTAATTCTTTGTTTTCTGCATGTGATTATGCATCTGTTTTGCTAGCATTGATCCTTAGTTATGCTAAAGGGATATACGTAATTCCTGTTTAACAGCATGAAATAATCCTAATTCTGCTGGTTTTAGATCTTTAATCCTTTTATGTTCTGTAATCTATATCCTCCGGCCTCCCTAACCTCCCAGTAGATGCGGGGGTGGGGGTGGGTGGGGATTTAGCATGGTAGTGTTTTAGTACTAATTTCATGATTTGATCTTCTTTCTGAGGGTGGAAAAGATGGCTTTTTTCCCTCCCAATTCTGGATGCACAATTTGTTTTGGTATAGAAAAAGTTGATCTTGTCCAAGGATATAGTTTTGTTGCAGCTTCTTCTTTGTGTTTGTGTAATTATGTTGTCTTAAAAAGATTGAATTGGATAATATCAGCTTATCGAGTTGTGACATCCCGAGATGTTGTATGATTACCAGGTTAGTTGTTCATTACCTTTAAAAGATCTTGATGCAACTATGAGTAGATGATAGCACATACGTTCATTGGCTCCAAGAATAGTCTGAAATTTGTTTGTTGTTGACTCTGAAATTTGTTTGTTGATGACTATAAAATTTAATAGTTTATTTGGTTGAACTAGATTAATTGACTATGAGAATCATGATCTTTATGTGTTATGTGGTTTCCTTGTTGTGGATTGAATAAGATCTAAGCATAAATCCTCTTGTGAAACAAGGTTACTGAAAATGCTGATCGATGGCACCTGGGGTGGTGTTCAACTATATATGAAAACTATGGTTCTCCATTTTACCTAGCTGAATTATCTATTGTGAATATTTACATCCTTATTGTGCTTGTTATGGTCCAGGCTCTGATAATTGAATTTGAAAAGAAAAATGGGGGACAGGCATGGAAGTGATGACAAAGGACTGTTTTCTCATCTTGCTGGGTATGCTGTGGGTCATCACCATGGAGGCTATGGGTCATATCCACCACAAGGATATGGATATCCACCACAAGGGTACCCGCCTTCTGGCTATCCTCCGCACGGTGGATACCCACCCGCAGGATATCCTCCTCCTCCAGGCGCATACCCGCCACCTGCATATCCTCCGCATGGTGGATATCCTCCTGCAGGCTACCCTCCAGCCTACTATCCGGGTCATTCATCACATCATGGTATGTTGAATCATTTTCCCAGTACTCATTGCTTCTCAGTTCTAACATCTGTTTCAAGATATAATATTCCGTTGTTTATTTGCACATCCCATGTTTTCTTTCTTGCACAGTTTTTTGATTAATTGCATTCTGCTTTATTACACCATGACTGAATTATGTGTAAGGAGTCACGACAAGATGATAGAAGCTCTGAATCCTAAGGGTTATTCCATAATGGGATTCGGAAAGGAGCACAGAGGGGAAGAATGTTGATCACCCATGTGGTCCATTTATATTTGTGACCACCTTAACAAACGGACTAAGTAGTCCTTGCNAGGGGGGGAGGGTTCCTTGTTCTGAGAAAAGTTAATGACACTGATATGTATTAGCCTGTTTTGGTTATCTGAGAATGTTTGCTATCTGATGCTTGCTCTGGTTCTTAATATAATTGATTAACTTATACACTAGCGCTAATGTCCCTGGTATCTAGCTTACTAGTGGTTTGGAGGAGAATGGGTTTTCACATGAACTCAAATGCATGATCTGATAACTTCGAATTGTTGATTTGTAATTTAAGTAGGTGATACTGAATCTTTCTGTAGAGAAGTAAATAGAAAGAAGTTGTAGAGTCCCCATATGAAAAGAGTAAGGAGATTATCGAAGCTTTAGTGTGAGGGAGAACTTATAACAGGTATACATGCTCCACGCACTTGGATCATCTCCCATTAGCATTGCTTTTATTCATCTCTTTGAGATTATACTTTTGATTACTGATTTAAACTTGATTACGAAGCTGCAATCTCATGTGCAAATAGACTAGTACTAGTCCTGACTGCTATACATTTCCTTGTTTGGTCATCAGATGTTAGTTTTGAGTTTACTTGGTTTATGTTAGATTGTTAGTTCAACGCTTAAGTTACACAAATAGAGTGCTGGCATCTCATGCATATTAATTTGTTTTTCTCCTTCCATTTCCATACCTCTTTGCATTTTTCACTTAAATCCATCATTTTGACAAGTGAATCCTTGCTTCTTTTTCTTGAGCAACCAATGAGTACATCAACTTGTACTAGTGTGGAAATGGATCTTATTGTTATCTTTTACGCTACAGTTGGTTGATTATTAAGAACTTTTACAGGACATGGACCTAATATGGGAGGCATGCTAGCTGGTGGTGCAGCAGCAGCTGCAGCTGCATATGGGGCGCACCATCTCATGCATGGTCATCATGGTCGTCCTTTCGGCCATTATGGCCATTACGGCCCTTACGGCCATCATGGCAAATTTAAGCACGGAAAATTCAAGCATGGGAAGTTTGGCAAGCGCTGGAAACATGGCATGTTTGGCAAACACAAGTTCAAGAGATGGAAGTGATTCATTATCCAAAGTTTACAGGATTCCTGCTATAAGTTGTTGCTTGTTACTTTTCTGTTGATGATGAATTTCTGGTGCATTTTGGGTGTCTAGACACCCTACATATGGTTTGGTGTTTATAGTAATTACATATAGTTTAAATTTGAAGTTGATGACTTTCTGCGAGGATATTATTACATTTTTAAAGTCTGATTTCGATACTGATAGGGTCGATAATTTTAGCTTATAAGCTAGTTTTCGTAGCTTAATGCATGTAGCAAATCCGAGCACTTTTTTCATTCATTTGTCTGTTACATCTCTCAAACTGAAGAGATATCAATGGAACAAAAATGACTTAGTTTTATTAGATCAATTTTTGTCTGGTTTATTCAGCTAAAATGGGAGTTCCTTCGGCATGTCCTTTATGTTTTCAGTTTTTTTTTTTTAATATAACCTGCTAAGAAAGTGATGCAAGGACCTAGTTCTGAACTACTGAAAGTTTAACTTGACCAAAAAATGAACTTTATCTATAATGTAGTTTGTATGTTTTCTCATATATCTTGGAGTAATCTCTGTATAGTAGTGTTGTTTAAAAATTAGTGACAACGATTAGCAATTGCTGCTGTACACGACTATTTAAGCTGGAATTGTTAGATCTTGCATGGACCGAGAAGATTTATTTACCATCTCAATAATTAATTTTACTTTCTATTTGCTTAGTCATTAGTAATTTGAAAGGTTAAGACTTATTTTCTTATACTATCCGTTGTTAACTTAACTAGTTATACCATATCATGTTAGACTAGTGCAACATACCGAATAGCAAGTAGCAAATATATAAGTTGAGTTTTGGTAGGGTTCGTGGGAAAGAATCGTCATAGTACAAACCATAAAGGAAAAGAATTCTTTTTCCTCACAATAAGTCTTTAAATTTCAATTTCCTTTTCCTATGTTACTTCCTTCTCCAATGTTATTAAACCCTAATATATAGAAAACTGTTTTTCCTACGCCACAACTTGCCCAAGAGAAGCAGACATAATAATGTCAAAGAAGACAACCTTTGAAGATACTACATCCATTGTTCCATGTGATATCTTATATTTCATCCTTATTAATCTACCTGTTAAATCTTTATTACGTTTTCGATCTGTTTCCGCACCATGGAATGCTATAATCTCTGAGGAAGAATTCACAAAAGCTCACCGTGATCATTCCAAAGCTTTGGGACGTAAAAAACTCTTATTACAAAGAGCTTTTACTTCTGAATTCAGGTTTATGGACTTGGAAATTAGTCCCAAAGTTGCCATAGATAAGCAACTCTTTCCTCTAAAGAGATTTCGTGCTGATCATGACGTTTTATGCTCACATGATGGATTAGTACTATTGAAGAAACGTAAGTCTTACAAATTTATTTTGTGGAATCCATCAATCAGACAACAACGAACTCTCGTATGTCCATATCTGGAAGCTTACGACGACGACATACTTCCTTATGGTTGTGGGATGTTTTATGATTCTGTTACTGATGATTACAAGATTATATCGATCTATAACAAGTGTTATGTTATTTGGTCTATGAGTAATATGAATTGTTGGACGACAAAGCCAACTCTCCCTATATTAGAACGAAGTCTCTTTAGTTTAAGAGGAACAACTAACTCATGGTCATATTTCTATGGTCAGGGTATTAGCACAAAGGATTGTGTGTTTTGGTCTCTAAATCAAGAACTTGACCATCATGTATGTAAAGCTTCAACAATTATATATTTTGATGTGAAGACAGACGAACTGAAGGAACTTCCAAAACCAAATTTAATAAGTGAAGATGATCAGTTGTTTTGTTTGACTACTTTGAAAGGTTGCCTTGGTTTATATGGTGGCAAAACCATAGATAAATTAAACATCTGGATTATGGAACAAGATGGCTGGAAATGGTTAATGAAACTTTGCGACGTACCATCAGGATTTTGCGAGCATTATTTTGTAAAACACAGTGAGCTTTTGTACTGCACAGGAAATGGTGAAATTGTATTTAAAGGACCAAATAAATACCATTTCTCCATCTATAATCCTAAACAACAACGATTTGTTACAAAGGTTTGTACATCGAATAATTTCGAGTATGAGTATCCTCCTGTCACCATATGTTTGGATAGCCTATATTTTCCCAGACTCGATGTCATGAACGAGAGAAGTAACTCGGAATGATGGTCAAAAATTCCAGAAGACAATTCTAATAACAAGACCGTTTCGATCACCAGTAATCTTATACTACCATATTTTTTGTTTTGTAATCTTCTTAGAATTCATCTTTTGATTCATACGGTTGGAAAGTTTATTTTTTGTTTTCAATGTTCAGCCATTTTCAATCTTGTTTGCAAAAACTGAAGTGACTAAGTGAGTAAAGGTAGGTCCATTACTATTTATATAGTAGTAGTAATAGACATGATATTTTTTTTTTAAAATGGAAAACTTTTGAACTTGTGGTATAAAATGAGGCACATATATTTTGTGTGACCACAAATCTTTGGATGAAGGTAAATTGTTTCCAAATATGAAAATTGATCATTCTTTTTGGCACGGACTAAAAAGGAAATAGATTCACATAAATTGAAACGGAGGGAGTATTATTTAATGAGGACAATTTACTTATTTAGTTGATAGAAGTTTTTGTGAAAATATATAACATGTTGTTTACCCCCAAAATGAGTAACAATTAAATTTGTACGCGGTTTAAAGGATACGTGGTTTAATTCAATACGAATAATTAAGAGTAACATATAAATGAACTAAAGACAAAACAAACGATCAAACCAATCGCAATGTGATGACCAAGCCCCATCTTAGATTGAACAGTGGAACTCATCCTCGATCGGATCCTCGGTACAAGCTTAGTCGCGAATGATGAAAAGAGCAAATGAGTAATGCGTTGAACAACAACTAGAAGACAAAAGTAAAATTTTATTTCTTTGAATTGCGTGTTACCCTGTGTGGAAAAAGAAAAACTACGCCTTTATATAGTAGGAGAATTTCAATCCTAGTACAAGTCTAAAAAAGGTCAAAAACCAATTTTTCCATTAATTGTTGATCTATAATTGATACCGAATGGGATTAGTGCTGTAAAATCCGGTTGAGGGCGAACATTACAGCCCCTTATCTGTCACACATAACCGTTCACCGCATCTCCTGGGTCCATAAGCCATGCTTGGTCCAGGGTACGTCGCCTTACCGTGTCCGATCTCAGATACATCGTTCGTTCTTCCTAGGTCTCGATACGAGGAGTTCCCGACCTCGATTATAATCATGTTGAGTCATGCTTCCCCTTCGTTCTCTCATCGGAAAATCATGGACAATTCTACCCGATTTTACCCGTACATAAATAGTACCCTCATTTTCGGGAGAGTAGATTTATTGAAGCAACGGGAAGGGATAAATGAACCCTAGTTCCTTCTTCTGTACATCACAACCGAGTCGACAGATCGGCGAAACGTCCCATTAGTCGCATCGTTCAGACTTCGGACACATGTCATCCACCAGTTGATTGTCATCGAATGTGAAATGTCACGCATTGATTAACCTTTCCTCTATAAAAGCGTCGACCCCTTTTTCACCTTTTTATTATTCGATTCCAGAGCTTTCTGTTTTACCCTTGAATTCTCCACTTAACTCTAACCCCTCCTAGATCTTCATATCTTCATCTTCAAACCTTTAAATCAGACCTTCATATCTTCATCCCTATCTTCAAACCTTCATATTTTCCAGAATCCGATGGCAAAAACTTCCAAAATCGTGCCTTAACAAATCGTCCCTTCAACTTCCAACCCGACCACGGGTGCTGAGGTGACCGTTCCCGAGGTGGTCCCGGAGCCTCCTTTGAAGAGTTTCATTCCTGGAGGTTGTTCCATTGAAAACAACTTCAAAGTCGAGAAGGCTTCCAGTAAGCAAGACCGAGGCGCAGGGGTATGAAGGTACATATTCTCCATTATCGAAGACATACTCCCCACAGTCTGGGTGGACTGCAACTGGGAGGGCAAGGATGTGGTTGTCCCAGGCCTAACGAGGACATCACTACCCACCTGAAGGGGTATCTAAGTGTTTACACTTACCCATTTACGCTTGCGCAGATGGACCCTGTAATCCCCGGCTTCTGCAAGAGGTACGAAGTCTGCCTTGGGAAAATTCACCCATCCCTTTGGAGGATCGTAATCCTTCTCCGTTATTTTGTCAACAACACCGAAGCACCTCAGTTTACCCTCGACCACTTGCTTTGTCTTTACAGACCCCGAGTTTTCCGTGGCTAGTTGATCAAGCTCGTCCTTCGAGCAGGCAAAGCTCTATTCTCGAGCATCGATGAAGATCGAGATCGGGGTTGGCAGGGGAGGTTCGTTTGGCTGAAGACCAAAGATCTCGTACCCCCCAAATTTTTACCGTTCCCTGAAAATTGGAACTTGGCCCGTAAGTCTTCTTTCCTCCCTTAGTATTTTGGCATTTTCTTCATTCTTTTTCTAATTGCCCGTGCCTATCGTTGTGCAGCAGTCGCTCGAGTTCCCAATGCAATCCCCCGCTTCAAGGAGTGGATCAAGGGAACAAATGTCATACTTTGAGCGGGAATGACACAGTCTTTCAAAGGGCCGGTGAGAGGCCCGTTCCCATGGTGAGTCTTCTTCCCGAGTAGTTGCATTTACGTATCTAACTCTTATTTTTGCTAAGTCCATTTCCTTTTCACAGGTTTGCCCAAGACCACCGAGTTTCGGCCATTGGACGGAGATGCGGCTCCATCCTTGCTTGTTAGACCCTCTGCTCCAGGACATCCCGGAGCTACCGCATGAGAGGAGGAAAAGAAAAAGAGGAATCCCTCTGGCTCCCCGGATGTTGAGGTCAAGAAGAAGAGGGTAGCGGTCAGGATACGTAAAAGCACCAAAAGGAGTACTCGGGCCAGGGCACTAGGCTCCGAACCTCTCTTCCGGCTCAGGGATTACCTTGAAGATGACGACTTGGAATTCGTCGTCCATGGGCCGATCACGGATGATCAGGGACAGGAGGCTACCAGAGATAGAGGTCGAGGGTCCGATCCCTTTCCATCTCGAGGACCAAATGGAGAACCATAAGTTACGGCCTCTCGAGAGGCGATCCCTGCTTCGAACTGGGTAAGATTCCTACTCCTTGTACCCTTTGAGAATTTGCTTAGTTTCAGTATGTTCTAACGACCTTATTACTTTTCAGGCTTTGGTGCTCCATCATGAAAGCTTTTTTCTGTCCCGAATGAAAATCAGTGTCACGACCCAAAATCTCACAACAGGCGTCGTGATGGCGCTTAGTCTCTAAAACTAAGTAAGCCGATTACAATTACAATACAAATAATTTTTT